CCCGTGACTGCCTCCTGGCCTGTCCCTCGTGTCCCTGTGCAGCCCGGGGGCCGGGCCCTTGCCTGCCCTGCGCTTGCGTCTCCTGTTTGGGAAACGGGGTAAGTGCTGTCACAGCGACAGAGCAGTGCCGGGCAGTGAGGGCTGCTTGGCTCTCTGGTCTCCTTACTCTCTTTGGGGTGGTTAGTTAAAAAAATGTTTTTAAAATATATTTTTATTGATTTCAGAGAGAAAGGGGGAGGAAGAGAGAGATGGAAACATCAATGATGAGAGAGAATCATTGATCGGCTGCCTCCTGCACGCCCCCTACTAGGGATCGAGCCTACAACCCTGGCATGTGCTCTTGGCCGGAATCAAACCCGGGCCCCTTCAGTCTGCCGGCCGACACTCTATTCACTGAGCCACACCAGCTGGGGCCAGAGGTGGTTAAGTTTAAAGGAAAAAAACCCATCATGTGGCACCAGCTGCTCTGAAACGTGTGTGGATCTGAGGGCTCGGCTCAGCCTGGCTGGCAGGCCTAAGGCAGGTCACCTAACACGGGGCCTCAGTTTTCCTCATCTCTCAAGTGGACATAATAAAATCGCCTTGTTGGGCTGTGAAGAAAATTCGGTAAAAATCAAACATGCACCGTGACCGGCATGATAGTATTCAGACTGTGTGTGTGTGTGTGTGTGTGTGTGCAAACAGGCTGACATACACCAGGCGAGAACTATTCACAGGCACGTAGCTGAGTCATGCCTTAGGGGCTCAGGCCAATCCCTTCTTCTTTTAAAACCAATCTGTCTCCTCACGTGTGAAAAGGAAACATGAGCCATAGCCTCTGTGCTTCATCCCGGTGAGAAGGTCAAATGAGAGGTGGGTGTGAATTCCCTGGAGACCCACACAGCACTCGCTGTGCAAGTACGAGAAGGACCGGACGCATCCGCTGAGTGAAGGAGTGTGATTAAGGAGCGAGGCACGTGATCACACTGCTCTCCTGGGAAAATAAAGGCTCTCCCAGCGCTGGGCTCTCCCCGCTCTCATCCATGCCTCCGGGGCCTGCCAGAGGAAGGGGCTCATGGTCCGTGACTCGGCGCTGCCTACAGTTACTAATGTGGAGATCACAGCCCTCCTGCAGCAGCCTCCCCGCGGGGGGAGGATGGGGACCGCCCTCAAATGCAGGGTCTTGGGTCCCTGACTGACCTGCCCCCTAAATCAGAATCTTCTGGGGACAAGCGCAAGATACCTGCATTGTAAGCGAGTTCCTCAGGGAGTGCTATGCACACTAACGTTGGAAAAATCCTTCTTTAAAAAAACTCAACAAGTAGTATTAATATGTAATCAGTGATGAGTTCCCCGTCACTGGGGGTATGCAAGCAGAAGCATCAAGGATTCCTGGAGCTCCTACATCTCAGTCAGCAGGGGGGGCTCTGGAGGCTGTGAGGAGCGGGGCTGCGGTGTGATTGTGACCCCGGAGGGAGGGTCCTGGGATAGACCCCTCTTACCTCTGAGGAGCAGGTGACTCACCAGGACCTCCGCGGTGGCGTTGCTGAGTTCCTCCACCCAGGCGCCAAGCTGCCCCCGGGTCTGCTTCTCTACATACTCCCGGATGCTGTGCTGGGCCCCCGCCGGGTCCTGGGCAGCCCCCGGGCCCAGGCCGCTGAAGCTGCGCTGGCCCAGCGTCAGGAGGAGCTGGGGGCCCTGCACGGGGAGCCTGCGCAGCAGGTCACGGAAGCCCTCCTGGATCTCGGCCTCGGAAACCAGCGTGAGGTTGAAGCCCAGGCCCTCCAGGAGGTGGGCCCTGCTGGCGGCAGGGGCTCCGAGGGACAGCGTGGCCAAGGCCCAGGAGATGCTCACGGGGGAGAAGAGGACGTTCTCTCCGGGGGCCTCCGAGGCCAGCTGTCGGTAGAGGTCGAAGGCAAAGTCTATGTTGCTCACGGAGAGCTTGTGGCAGGGCAGGGCCGGCCCGGGAGGGACGTCCGAGGGGCCGGGGTCCATGGGGCCAGAATCCTTCTGGTTGGCCAGGGCCAGGCAATGGCCCACAGCCAGGAGCGCAGGGACCAGCAGCCACATCCTCTGGAGTCCTTGGTCAAGATTCTAGAAGCAGGGGCGCGGGAGGACAACAACAACAACCGTAATAGTAATCCTATCTAACAAAAGACAAAAAGGGTAATTAACCGTACCTCCGCTACGCTTCCCATTGGCTAATTAGGGCAATATGCAAATTAACCGCCAACAAAGATGGCGGTTAACCATCATCAAAGATGGCGGTTAATTTGCATACGTAGGCACAATGATGGGAGGCGAAAGAGGAAGGACGGAAGAACAGTGATCGGAAACCCAGGCAGCAGGCAAGAGCTGGCTGGCAGGGCAAAGGCGGCCCTGGGGGCTGCCTTTGCCCTGGCCCCCAGCCGGTGATCACCATTGGAAAGCCGGGCTGCAGGTGAGGCAGCACCCCCAGGGGCCTGGACCCCGGGGTCGCCATGGCGATCGGAGGGAGAGAGAGCCGCATCGGGAATGGAGAGCCGGGGCGCAGGCGAGGCGGCACCCCAGCACCCCAGCACCTGACATGCAAAGGTCGGGGATGAAATGACTTTTCCAACCACATGTGCAAATATCCTGGGGAAGGCATCACTGAAGAGTTCACAACAACTCTCTTACTTGGCAAGGAAGAAAACAGTTGGCAACGGAAACAATCCCTTACATCAAAGTTAAGGTCCCTCTGAGTAAAAGAGAATATTTCCAATGTAAAGGAGGGAGCAGGCAAAAATAATAGGTTCTCATGACTTCCACTGAAGTTTGAGCATATGACAGAGTCAAAATGACATACAAATTAAAACAGACAGTGGACATTCAAATGACCCGAATCAACTGTCACTGTTTGTCCCAATAGCTGCAATGCTTATGTGATAATATAGTTTAACAAACATTCAAAACAAGTCACATGATAAGAGAGGTTCGGCTTCTAAAGTAAATTGAATATGTTCTTTAAAAATTCTCATGTCCTCCCCTCTGACTATAATTCTTAATTTTCCAATCAGAAAATTACCCCAGGTGATCCAGTAACATGTAGAACTCCAGTAACCTAACTTATTTAAAAAAACAAACATCCCAACCATTTTTAAAATATTTAAATTGATATTTTAGGGTTAAAATTATAGAAGATATTTAGATCCAAATATATTTTCTGAATAGAAAATATTTCAGTTTTTGATTAAAAAAATAAACATAAAAAATATATAAGTGACACATTTTCCCAAGGAACTCTGAATTAGTACCTTTCCCTCTAACTTTCTTCAAATTAAGAGAACCTATGGAGTTTCCTATACTGCACAAGTTTTAATGAAAGAAAATAAGACTTTCTAAGAGCATCAAATACATGTTTTCTTATTTACAAATATATATACTCTTCTCTCTCTCTCTCTCTCTCAAATATATTCTTACTGATTCAGAGAGGAAGGGAGAAGGAGAGAGATAGAAACATCAATGATGAGAGAGAATCATTGATCGGCTGCCTCCTACATGCCCCGTACTGGGGATCAAGCCCACAACCCGGGCATGTGGCCTGACCAGGAATCAAACTGTGACTTCCGGAGAAACCAAGATGGCGGCATAGGTAAACACCGGAGTTTGCTGCCTCGAACAACCACTTCAAAAATACAACTAAAAGACGGAACGGACATCATCCAGAACCACAGGAAGGCTGGCTGAGTGGAAGTTCTACAACTAGGAGGAACCGAGAATCAGAGGAGGCGCAGTGCTGAAGTAAAATACTAAGGTGCGGACTGCGTGCGGCGCGGGCTGGTGGTTGAGGGCGCGGTTGTCTGTTTCAATCCGAGGGAGCCTCAGACTCTGAGCTCCAGATCCAGGCGAGTCTCTAGGGACCCAGACTCAAACGGGAGAAGCGGGACTGTCCGGCTTCGGTCCCTCCGAGGTTTGCAGCGGTTGCTGGGACAGAGAGGCAGAGCCCCTGGGGACGGACTGAGAGCAGCCATAACTTCTCCCTCCTCCGCCCTGTTGATCCCGTGGGACCCGCCCCGCCCAAGCCCTGCACAGAGCCATTTGCCGGATAGCCTCAGGCAAAGGCTAGATTAGCACCTCCCTAGAGGACAGAAGTTCTCCCACTGCAAACACAGCTGATTCTCACAGCCAGTTGGCCTGGAGGTCAAGTAGTAATTACCTACAACAATCAAGGCTTGACTACAACAAGACTGCTCACAGAGACCACAAGGGGGTGCACCAAGAGTGTCTACCTCAGGTAATTGGGACACTTAACACGGAAAGCCACTCTATCGACACAGCGAAGCATAAAAAAATGCCAAGACAAAGAAACAGGTCACAAAGGACAGAACCAGAGGAAAGCAGGCTACTGGATATAGAATTCAAAACCACACTTTTGAGGTCTCTCAAGAGGCTTCTAGAGTCTGTCGATAAACTTGATGAGATGTACAGGAAATCTAATGAGACCCTCGATGGTGTGATAAAGGACCAACTAGAAAGTAAGCATACACTGACTGAAATAAAGAATATTATACAGACTCCCAACAGCAGACCAGAGGAGCGCAAGAATCAAGTCAAAGATTTGAAATGCGAGGAAGCAAAAAACACCCAACCGGAAAAGCAAAATGAAAAAAGAATCCGAAAGTGTGAAGATAGTGTAAGGAGCCTCTGGGACAGCTACAAGCGTACAAACATCAGAATTATAGGGGTGCCAGAAGATGAGAGAGAGCAAGATATTGAAAACCTATTTGAAGAAATAATGGCAGAAAACTTCCCCTACTTGGTGAAAGAAATAGATTTACAAGTCCAGGAAGCGCAGAGAACCCCAAACAAAAGGAATCCAAAGAGGACCACACCAAGACACATCATAATTAAAATGCCAAGAGCAAAAGACAAAGAGAGAATCTTAAAAGCAGCAAGAGAAAGAAACTCAGTTACCTACAAGGGAATACCCATACGACTGTCAGCTGATTTCTCAACAGAAACTTTGCAGGCCAGAAGGGAGTGGCAAGAAATATTCAAAGTGATGAATACCAAGAACCTACAACCAAGAGTACTTTATCCAGCAAAGCTATCATTCAGAATTGAAGGTCAGATAAAGAGCTTCACAGATAAGGAAAAGCTAAAGGAGTTCATCACCACCAAACCAGTATTATATGAAATGCTGAAAGGTATCCTTTAAGAAGAGGAACAAGAAGAAAAAGGTAAAGATACAAATTATGAACAACAAATACGCATCTATCAACAAGTGAATCTAAGAATCAAGTGAATAAATAATCTGATGTACAGAATGAACTGGTGATTATAATAGAATCAGGGACATAGAAAGGGAATGGACTGACTATTCGTGGGGGGAAAAGGGGTGTGGGAGATGCGGGAAGAGACTGGACAAAAATCATGCACCTATGGATGAGGACAGTGGGTGGGGAGTGAGGGCGGAGGGTGGGGTGGGAACTGGGAGGAGGGGAGTTATGGGGGGGAAAAAGAGGAACAAATGTAATAATCTGAACAATAAAGATTTAATTTAAAATAAATAAATAAATAAACTCTGAAAAAACAAAACAAAACTGTGACTTCCTGGTTCATAGGTCGATGCTAAACCACTGAGTCACACCGGCCGGGCTCAATTCTTATTTATAAATTCATTCCAAGGACATATACAGCTTGAAAAGCTTTGGAAGTAGTTTCAAAAAAAAAACAACCCTAGCTTTTAAGTAACAAGAAAACAGTTATAAAAGAAAGTTTAAATTAAAAGAAAAAAAATGTTTTAATTTACTCAAGAGTGGGAACATCCTCCATGAAAATGCGTACCTTGACTGTGGATGGCTGGGTGGCCTTATCACACCTTAGGAATTCAAATGCTTTTTACAATGACAAGAAAGAGAGTTTCATCTCATTTCTCTCCCAGGGTAGGTGTCTGTCAATAGAAGGTGGACATCAATAAAAGGAGGGGCTTGCACAATCAATCCAGAAAGTCAGCAATCTATGAATAATCCAGAACCAAGTATTTATCTCCTCTGCCTCACACCCTCCCTCCCAGCCAGTGAGCAAGATAATTACCCTCAAGTCAAGCTAAGTGCCCCCCCAGTCACAGTGGCCCAATGCTGACATACAAAGCATACAAATAATTCTCACTCTGGCATAAAAGTGACAACTTTCTTGGAAGAAAAGCAGATACTGTACATTTCTCAAAGTCTTCCTGAAACATTTTTTAAAGTAATTTTTACTTCTTTAGAAAAAATGCATACATGGCAAACCATCTGTGATAAAAGGCCCATTCTATAAAATTTTCCCTGGTCCTACTCATATCTGCAATCATAACCATATTTACAGACAAATATATCTATACTAATAAAAGAGTAATATGCTAATTAGACCGGGAGACCTTCCAGGAGACCTTCCAGATGTTCTTCTGGACAAAGCCATGGTGGTGGGGCCGAGGTAGAGGCGGTTAGAGGCCAAGAGGGGAGGGCAGTTGTGGGTGATCAGGCTGGTGGGGGGCGGAGCTGTTGGGGGTAAGCAGACCAGCAGGGGGGCCAGTTGGGGGCAAGCAGGCCATCAGTGGGGGTCAGTTGGAGGTGATCAGGACAGCGGGGGGGGGCAGTTTGGAGTGAGCAGGCCAGCAGGGGGGGCAGTTTGGGGTGATCAGGCTGGTGGGGGGGCATTTGGGAGCAAGCAGGCCGGCAGGCAGAGTGGTTAGAGGCAATCAGGCAGGCAGGCGGGCAGGTGAGTGGTTAGGAGCCAGCAGTCCAGGATTGCGAGAGGGATGTCTGACTGCTGGTTTAGGCCCAATCCCTGTAAACTGGCAGTAGGACATCCTTCGAGGGGTCCCAAATTGGAGAGGGTGCAGGCCAGGCTGAGGAACACACCCTCCCCAGTGCACGAATTTCGTGCACAAGGCCACCAGTTTTACCATAAAAGATACTTGACAAAAATCATTTGGGAGTTCACTAATCTCTGGAAGAATGAGAGGAATAAAGTTTTTTATTGAAAGTCAAAACAATTTTCACAATTATGCATCAGACTTGTTTCAATTAAGAAATCCCTGCTACTATGTTCAAATACTGGGTCCTTATATCATTTACCACCAGTTACACTTATAGCACTGGACAATAGCCCCTTTTCCTCTTGTCTCCAGGACTC